GTTTCGCTATGCAATATCTTCTTCAGGCGCGTCTTTACCAACTAAAATCTACATATTCATTGCTTTTAATGTGTTTTTACGATTTGAAGTACCTAAATTTCAAGTACCTGAGTTTTACCTATCCAATTGATGTTAAATGTGTACCTGAGTTTGTAATGTATTGAGCTTATGTACCTACCAGTTTCTACATTTGAAAACATATTCAGTAACGTGGAGTTATGTAATTCTATTTGGTCATTCATTTAATTACCCGAGTTCTCAAATCTATTTATTTCCAAACGTTCTATGCTCTTCAATTCTTTGGGAGAAAGTTTTCCCTGTTTGGCCAATATAAAGTTTTGGGCAAGAGCCAAAAGTCAACTTGTATATTCCTGAACTATCCGACACTGTTTTGTATTTATTTTGCCTAGCCAATTAATATTTTTGTAAAACTGTTTAGTGATAGATGTATAGTTATGGTGGATCCACCTAAATAATTCCCTGATTGTTATAACAATTGATGTTACATGCTCGAGTAGACTCTGTCATTGATATACATATTGAAACTTTAGAACTCAAACTAGTTCTAGTCGCGTAACTACATCATTTTCTTTCAGAATGAGGCATTACATTCTCTGAACCGAGTGAAATTGATTTCCTTGGGGATTTCATCTGTTCATTTGGTCTTCTGGTATTTCCACAAAACTCCATAAAGTGACAAACCGTAAACGTTTTCAGCATGCTGTAAATTGCTGATCACATATATTGCCGTTACGTGTAACGTATGTGCGGACGGGCCGTTAATTTTCCCACATTTCAACTTGAAATTACCCCAGATCCATTGACTTATGACCTGGGCGGATGAATCGGCTCGCAACTTATAAAGCGAGACGATCCAATTTGTCTATTTCTGTGATATTTTGACTTCGAGCTTGCCAAACAGTCACGAAGACACGATTTAGGCATTAACAGAGGAAACATCTGTCTTTTCGTGAAAATACCGACCGGAATTTATACGGGATTTGGAGGTTATTTTATAAATATGGCTGGGGAACAGAATTAACTGAGAATCCAATTTGTTTAACTTTCTAATATCTATAGATGCTACTGTTTTTTGAAGGCATGTAGAAGTACATGGTTATTTCATCTGTATGATTTTAAATGCATTCGTGAACAAATTTTATGGACTGAAATCTTAAGGAAAAATATTTTCATTTGAAGAGTAACCCCAGAAAGTCCGTGGTTATCACAATTTAAGTATCATATAATATGTAAAACAAAGTCCTAAAATCGAGTTAGTTACACCAAGAACGGCTGGACCGATTTTCATGACTTAGACTGCGGGATATTGCGAATCAATCAACTGCAGATAAATTATTAACGTGGTTGAGGAAAAAAGAGAGAGAGATAACAACCACATGGCTTTTATCAGTAATCCATTATTTTAAAACAAATAAAGATTTTTAGTAAATGAATTCAATAATCTTCTTTATAGTATGTTTCACTCTAAATGGTATTGGCTTATCAACTGTATTAAACTACCTGGTTTAATCCTATTGTTTAGTGTAATACTGTGATTTGCTTCCCTTTATTTGATTCGGGTTTTACAATTTAACTGTCTAATTGGTTTCATTATAATCGTTTAGTCAATACTTATATACCGTGAAACCTACTATATATCAGTGAGGAGTCAACTTATTTTTATGTAGTGACTTGTTCTATTGTATTGAGATGTTTCAATTGTTTGAATGTAATATTTCGTTATTTCAACACGGCCATCCTCATTAACACTCTTCCTTGAAGATGATAAATTTTATCTAAATAAGTATTGGAATAACTTGTGTTATTAGAGTACACTTCCATTCTGCTGATCACCCAAAGATACTTTCCAAGACTGTCTTTCAACAACTACGAGAATGCGTTATTTTTAGTGCTTTTAAAGAAAAAAAAAGTTGGACGTCACTTACCACGTTTTCAACTTTTTTTTTTCAAATACAAATGGGAGTTTCATGGTACCTGGTTTGATAGATCTTTCAATTTTAACACTGGTTTATTTTTGAAAATTGGAACAGCTATTTCTGAATGATTAATAGTTTTATATTCTTTGTAAGAATCTGCAAACAAACCGTAACTATCATAATTTCGATTAAAAATTCATTTAAAAATCACTCCAGTTCTTCCAAATATGTTCAAAATGTCACTACTTGACTATCATGACGACTGTTTATAACTTCTTGTCATACATTTTGTAATATTTCTAAAATTATTTCGTAAGTTATAGGTACTTTCGTGAAAAAATACGATATAACCTATGAATAATTCAACATATACCAGACAGTTACTACATGTTACCGATCTGTCACCCTTTTCAAGTAAAAATCTCACGGAAAATTGTATCAATATTCCTATGTATGTATGAGTTTGTTGTTAAAGTTAGGTACTTATCGCAACAATCATTCGCTTTCGACCTTGAACGAATAAATTAAAGCAATTCAAATTCACCTACGCCTGCCTAAGAAGGGGATAATTATCACAAAATAAAAAATATTTAGAGGTTTCCTGTTGACCCAATACGTTAAAAGCACTTGAGAGAATTGATCAGTAAATTTCAGATGACTGGATTTGTACAAATTGATTTGGGATCCGTTGTGGTATTTTCCAATAACCAGCTGAAGCGGTAGCTACACGGGTTGTATTTTTCAGTTCCGATAAAAATTTGCTCAAAAAACATACAAATTGAACATTCTTCATCAACTGACAAATGATGGCAGAATAAAAGATGGCAGTTTTGTGTTGCCATAACTGAGCGCATAAATCGTAATCTATAATACATTTACTGCTTTTGTTTCAGTGATGAATCTTTGACCTTTTTTGAAAGGAACAGAAAAAAGGCAGAATGAACGTTATTGGTCGTACTTATTTCGAGAAGGATACACATAGTATCCACAAAAAGAAGCTGATTGGGCGAGTTTTCTGGGTTACATTGTATTTGGATATTCAGGAAAATCGTATCATGTCTATGATTGATGAGATAGTTCAGGCTAACCCAAATGAGTTTTCAACTAATGTTGTTTCAGCATTATAATAAGATGGTTTGAAAGAGGCTGGATGATAATTACCCCAATCGATAGATAGGGGAAAGAGGTCTCTTAGAAAGACCCGCTAGACTCTAGACCATCTGATATGATCTGAAGCACAACCACAGTCCAATCCAAAACTCATAATAATAGGTTTCAAAAAAATTACTCCAGAAACATTCGATAATATAAGAAATGAACAGCCTTCGTTATCGTCAGGAAGCAAATGGTGAATGGGAAAGAAAGTGTTTGGCTTTCTACTACTCCATCTTGATACAAAAAGGGATGAGGGAATCTTCCAAAGGAAGGAAGGAAGTAATCAATTTGAAAATAAGTAGCTCTATACATGGATGTGTAGATCATGCAAAGAAATAACTTTCATACACAAACTGAAAGAAAGTCCTCCTGAAACAGCTACTTTCATATAAACATTGAATTACACGAAAGAAAAAAATTCTTTCGAAACTAATACTTCTATATGAACACTGAATTATACAGAAGATACTTTTCTCTACTCAGTTTGTATTTCAAGCATTCGTTGTGGAATAAAAAATCAGATATCATTCACATGAGTTCTACTTTAAATAAATGGTAACAAATTGCACTTACATGGAACACCGTCATCCTCACTGGTATACATCGATGTTTTGCCTTAAGACACTTGCCCTAAGGCTCTTCAGTACCAAATTGGATAACATTATAGAAAATACACACAATTCATTCATGAATTACGATTTTTAATGTCACCGAATAAGCTTGATCTGCTTATGTCATCGATGACATCGTAATGATATTCATTCACCTATTTGATTTTATCCCAGACAAGAGGAATCTTATTTGAATTGAAGAGGTTATATTTTTAAAGGAGTTTCAGGAGGACTTTCTTTCAGTTTGTGTCTGAAAGTTACTTCTTTGCATGATCTACACATCCATATATAGAGTTACTTATTTTCAAATTGATTACTTCCTTCCTTCCTTTGGAAGATTCCCTCATCCCTTTTTTTTGTACCAAGATGGAGTAGTAGAAAGCCAAAAACTTTCTTTCCCAAAAAATAATCACTCCTAAAAATATAACCCCTTCAATTCAAACAAATGGTGAATATTTTGATTGATTATTTATGGGCTACAGTGGCGTGATCTTTGAATGGACGTTTTATTTTTGTAGGTCCACAATCCAGTCCAAAAGTGCATGGATTACTCCAGGAATAAATAGCATTCATTATCGCCAGAAAGTAAATGATGAACATTTTGATCAATAATGGGTCTAACTGGTGTGATCTTTGAATGGATTTTTTGTTGAAATTATGATATTCATCTTTTTTTTTGTAGGTTTTGAAAAGAATATAAAAATGCTGAATAATAGGAATCATATCCTAAAGTATTTCGATGAATCAATAATAGCTCATTTATGTATTCTATCAAACTTTTGAATTTAATGGGTGAGTCACTCGAGAGCCGAATACTTAGTTTTATTTGAGTAAACAAATGAATATTTCCAGAACGTGTAATTCTTGGTATAGGGTGTATCACATATACTCACATCAAAATAGCCATTCAAAATTGTGAAAATATACAAGGTGTTACATTTGAATTAAGGAAGTTGGTACCAACTTCCTGTATAACCGAAACTATTGGGAAAATGCCATTATTTTTATTCGAGACAGCATATTGAAAAACTTATATTTTCAGGATATGAATCCTATTTCCCAAAACACGGCTAACCCACGGTCATCGCGCTGCACCCTTCTTCACAGTATATAGCATCAAATGTACTTGGGTACCTACTACAACGCTACAATGTGCAAATTTTAGAATCAGATGTTATTCACACTTCCATTTTTTTCAATTATAAGATTAAGATGATAGAATAAAAACAAGTTATCTCATACCAGTTGTTTCTCGAACACAACGAGTGAAAAAAACAAATTAATTTTGTGTACTTACCGGGCGAAGAAAATCTTTGAAGAGGTTCACTGATTTGTTGCAATCGTTCACAGACGAATTGACTGGACGAACCATTCTGAAAGAAAAAAATCAGTACTCTGAAAACCATCACGATCAATTCATCTACAAGAAAGATTTTATATCAGTTTTGAAACATTTTCTTACTGAAAATCACAGAAAAATAGGGGTCCCGGTGTGTTTGCAATATATAGAGTATTAAATAGAGAAAACTACGAAACACTCTGACAAAATAGTAATTGAAAACTTTATACACTGTAGAAAAGGAGACTTCTCTCTATAAACATTATATATGCTATGGTTGTAAACAATTAATCACATTCACATTACGTTTCAGAAGGTCTAGAAGACAAATTGACCCAAAAGTTCCTCTTTATCTCAGTGTTATTTACTTGTGGTGCACTTTTTGAGAAATATTTCACATGTTTCTCTAACACAGTAGCTTCTTCAACGGTGATTTGAATACTTCAAGTTGCTTCTTACGCTAATATTCATATATAACATTGGGATGGTAGAGTCAACACAAAGTAGCAGCTTATAAGAGCATGATTCAAAGATTAGTTCCTCTTTCAATAGATAATTTCAATATAGAACATAATATCATCAAGCAAATTGCAGTAAACAATGGGTTCAAACCCGAATCAAAAAAACAAAATACTTTCCAAAAAAGTCTACGCAAAAGCGATTCGAGACGTTTTTCCTACTGATAAGTTAGATAATCCAAATTATAGAGCTTTAACGTATTTTGGACAAACACCGGCTTCATTTTTGAGGAAACAAGATATTAAAATTGCATATAGAACAAGTAATACGTTGGGAAATTTAGTTAAAAATAATAAAGACAAAACATCCAAAATCGAGAAATCAAGAGTATATAAATTAAAGTGTGGAACATGTCTTAAGGTTAACATTAGTCAAACTGGCAGAACATTTAGGAATCGAATTCAGGAACATCATATGAGCTATGTAAATAAGAAAACAAGTTCAACATATTCAAATAATCTTTTAGAAGAAAATCATATCTTTAACGAAGGTTCGAAATTTTACACTTAGAAAATAAAGGTTAGAAACTGAATCATTTGGAAGCAATGGAAATCAATAAACCTAAAAATTCAAATACTATAATGAATGACCAACTGGATATCACCATTATTGAACTTGTTTTCTTAAAAAATCCGAGGAAGTATTATTATTGATGTAGAAGTGAGGTAATATGCTTCAGGTAATCATAATTGAAGAAGTACCTCAGGTATATAAGAATTGTAGAAGTTCAGGTAATTTAATGGAGGTAGTCCCAATTGTAGTTAACTGTGGTATAAAAATATTAGCGTGAAAAGCAACTCGTAGTATTCAAATCACTCTTGAAGAAGCTATTGTGTTAGCGAAACATGCCGTGATATATTTTTCAAATAAAGTTTATGGAGATCAAATCCTGAGGTGTAGTTAATCAAATTACTATGGGTCTTCAACAAGTAATGGCCGAATCAATCAGGTTCTCAGGTATTAACAAATGTTGATTGCAGTAAGTGATCCTTTAATATATGAAGAGTTCTCTCGCATTCTGTTCAAGAATTGTGAAAGCTCTTGAACTATAATGAACGTACAATTCAGGTTGAAGTGACTATAAAAATACCAATAGTTTTCTTCATATTTTTCACTTCGTGTTCATAATAATGAATCTTCTGTAAAACTTTGGTAGAGTGCGAAATCCCCACAGAATTACAGACTCTCATGAAATAAACTTTTCGAAAGTTTGTCGAGATGTGAAAAGCATAAAGCTTGCAGTGTTCTCATCGACCGTGACTTGAACGAACTTTTTTCAACATGCTCCTGGGGTTCAAATAAAGTTTTATTTCAAATAGTAAATGATTTATATCTAGATGAAGACAGTATTTACGAACATTTCATTGTTATCTGTAACATTATTATAAGTGTATGTATGTTATTGAATGAACATCATTTTTTCGAAAGTTTTTAAAAAACTATTCGACTAATCGTTATTTAAATATTTTGCAGCAAAGAAATACATCTTTCATTCCTATTTCGCTCTACCCCCGTATTTTTGTTGAAAACTGTGTATTACCAATATGTATTTTGTATCATAAACATCGTGAGAATAATAATAATAATACAGAAACTTTTGACGTAACTTTTTGTAAACAGTTACGATACATTTTACTTTTCATAACTGATTGCAAAAACTTATTCATTTCGTTTGCAATTAGAATAACATAACCACATATTTTTCAAGTGGAATTATTTTAGGAATATTATTATTTATTGAAGTCAAATAAGAAAAAATTCTCATAATCGTTATCGTATATATTTTTAAGATTTCTGTATAATAGACTAAGGAGTTTTTTGCCTTGCATTATGTTTGACAATCTGACAAACGATATGTTGAACATACTTGGATAATAGGAAAAAATCCGTAGAATCCTAATTTTTTTCGTTTGAAAAATAATGAAAGAACATTTCCAATAAATATCAGAAAATATTCAAGTTTCATAAATAGCAATTTGATTTCCCCTAGTTTCCATTTATTTATTAAAACCGCTCTAAAGGTTGTAATGAGAGTATTGAGTGAAAAAGTAAGTAAAAAAGTAAATAAGTAGGTAAGTAAAGTTTATTTTGGTAGGTTATTCGAAGCGCCGAATAAAGAACACTATTTTTTGTCACATTCAAACAAAGTTCAAATAACCAAGAAATAGGCTGAAACAGCTATCTATCCGTGGCTCTTAAATTGAAATAAAATTGGGAATGATTTTCATGGAATTATTTTCCAGCAGCTTGACTACATTAACCTTTCTTGATTTCATATCATTCCTAGAAACATTTAGATTCGTTTTCCGATGGCATTCCAGGAAAGCCTCCTAAATTTCTGCTAATGCAGTTATCGGTTGGATGGTCAAATTACCAACGCTGACAAACTTGGAAAGCTAACTTGGGAGTCACACCACTAGGTGGTTCCACTTATGTCTCGCTTGCGTTTACGCAGTAATCTTTATCAATACTGTTCTTGGTTTTTCACATATTGTCAATCAGCCCAAAGGGTGAGGGAGCAAGGCTCCAGCCTGACATAAACGACGATGACCATCGACATATTGTCCTAACGAACAATTCGGATTCAGGAGAGACCACTCTACCGAGATGCAAGCTATGAAACTGGTCGAAAATACCATCCAAGAGCTAAACCACAATCGAAAAGTTCACATCGTCCTTTTGGACATCTCGAAGGTCTTCGACCGTGTTTGGCACGAAGGCCTTCTGCGCAAACTAGACGCGTTCGACCTGCCTCGGGGACTGTCCGGTGGATCGGGTCCTTCCTGAAAGACAAAACTTTTCAGAACAGAGAAGAGGGCTCCCTGTCTGACAACAGAGAGATCATCGCTGGGATGCCACAGAGAACTGTGCTCTCTCCCACGTTATACTCGCTCTACACCAGCGACCTCCCAAGGTGTGAAGGTGTCTCTCTACGCCGATGATACGGCTCCCCCTCTCATCTCCCATGGGGCGGGAGCTCGGGATGGTCTATATGCGACGTGCATTGGACAACCTCGAGCGCTGGTACCTCGAGTGGAAGATCCGAATGAACTCAGACAAAACTCAGGCGATAACCATGGGAAGAATGATATCTTCTCTGGCTAGGAAAGTGAGGGTCTCTGGAAGGGAAATCAACTGGCAAGCGCGGGTAAAGTACCTAGGCCTTCTAATAGACCGTAGGCTCACTTGGAACCCACACATTATATCAGGATCGGATCGAGGGCCGGATAGCAAGTCTGTACCCTCTAATCAACAGAAGATCCAAAATGAGTCTAAAGAATAAAATGACCATCTACAATACGATGTTCAAGCCTGTCATTATGTATGCTTCAGGCGTTTGGTGACAAACAGCTCCGTCTAATATCTGAATTCTGGATTTTTGATTGCACAGAAACTCATGAAAATCCGTTAGTTAGGGAAGCTATGGATTATGCTGTAGATGTCCCCTCCCGATATAGAAGGCCCCGACACTCTGTGGAATGAGGCCCCTATGTCCTTCGTTAAAAGATGAACAATCTTTTCATCCACCTCACCCCAGCCAGGTAGGGGTACACCGTGAAGGGCGGACTGATGTCTGAGGACATTCATGTCGCCATCCTACCATCAGTCATGACCCATTTGTCCCTCTGACAAACATCAGTTGAAAGGGTATGGGAGCCAGGCTCCAACCTGAAAGAAACAAGGACGACTTTCACATATTGTCTTCAATCGAGGACCGATTAAATTAATGTAACAGGTTCCGTCCAAAGAACCATGGTAGAAAAATGGACCGATAATTCTGCCTCTAAGTAGATCACACCAAACATAAATACTATATCGTCTTTGCGGATTGTGGGGATGGACTAGAAATTGAATAATGAAACTTCTTCCTATTTTACATTCCACAATTTGAAAAGTTACCCTTATCACTTTATAGAAATTTGGATCTTGTCTGCATTTATTCATAAACCACTGACAAAACTTCAATCGTCTCTCAGGGTCACCAGGTTCTAGTGTTTGCACTGGCCTTAACTTGAAAAGAGAAATCTCATGTTTCTTCAGAATTCGTTGAATAACAGACGGTGGAACGGCTATTTCTCTAGATAAATCTCTGATGGAATTATTGGGATTTACCTCAAAGTAGGCTAAAACGTCAATTTCTATATCTTCAAATATTACAAAACGTTTTTCAGTTTTTTTCCTCTCAAAAACTTTTTCATTGTTCCTGAATCGACGATGAAGCACAGCAACAAAACACCGATTAGATAATTCACGATCGGGGAACAAATTGCTGTAGTGTTGGAGTGCTCTTACGCTATTTTTCTGATAAACCAAGTGGGATTCTAATATATCACATTTTTCTTGTTGTGAAAACGGCATTTCCAAAAATATTCGAACAGTACTTAACATTTACAATAATTCATGACATTGTCATGATATACTTGAGAATATTTGACAAATAGTATTTCAACAAAGTTTTAAGGCAACTTGATTACTCATAATAATTCTGTTTAATCGAATCGAACCCTTTTTTTT